TGGAAAAAATTTTGGTTCAGTATCTGACTAGGCTCTCCCTAGAAGAGTCCACAATATAATTTAAGGTAATAAATTCATTTTAGAAACGAGCTTCATCCATAAAAATAGTAATAATATAACAATAATAATGCATTTTAGGGATGAATAATGAAAATATAAAAAAAAAATATGACAAATCCTATAAAAAAAAGAAATAAGATGATATTAGGATGTGAAACTGGTTGGAAATGTTTGTTATTGTTGTTAAAAGTTATAATAAAAATATTGTATTGATAGTATAAAAATATAAATAACAAAAATATTTTAATTTCTAGTCTGAAGATGGGATAAGAAAGTCGATCCCGAAACGTCATAAAAATAAAGAAATATTTTTGGGAGAGTAAATGCTGTTAATAAATCTTATTTATATACCTCAGATAAAAAGTATCTCCCTTAGAACTCATGAAGAAAAAAAAAAAAATAATTATTCGTTTGTTCGGTGTTAACAAAGCTGACATTTCATGCCAGAGAGAACAAAAGTAATATAAGGTTCAACATAAAAATATAACAGATTACATAAAAAGAAGGCTTATGTATACATAAAATGTATTTAAATCTATATGTTAACAATATGTTAATAAACTAAGTAATTAAAGAAACTAACCCTATACTACTTTAATGTTTAGGAGGGAAATCGAAATTACAAAAACCTGGTTAAAATTGAACAGGAACAAACACGAAATAGGCAACACAATTTTAATTAGCTATTTGATTAAAGTATAAAATCTTATAAAACTAACATAATAAAAATATAATATTTCCTTTAATTTGATTTTTAATTAAGTACAACGTTGGAAAGGTTCACATTCGTTGCTTTACAATGGTGCTGATGATATGTTCAATGGCCTGTACATTTCACAGCCATTATATTTTTAAAAATTAATTATATTAATTTTAATCGCTGAATCAAATTTAATGAAATTTATCCTAGGCGATTCGTACACGATTCCTCAAATTTCTAATAAATCTGGATCAAATAGTCGTATATAATATGGTATAATAATATGGTCGAATCCAAAAATGATACGTTTGTAGATCCGAAAGCGGATCTATTTTTTTCAAGTATTGAATAGAATTTGATAAAACTGAGTCCTACTTAGATCATTTTTTATCAATCCCTAACTTATCTCCAAATTTGGGGCAAATCGAACATGCGTCTTTTATAGGCGCATCAAAGAAAATACCTTTTTGCATATATAAGAGAAAGAAGTGGCTGGGATCCTATAAGATCTATACTAATACCCACCTTTCTTTAAACTATGTACCAAATCAAACAAGCTTTAAATAAATTACATTTAACACAGCGGAAGAGCTGTATAGAATTGAATTAAATTGACCGAGTAGGCAACAACCGCACGACTACAAATTTCATGAACATTGAATAAACGGTAATAGGTCACATCGATTTGACTTAAGGCAGACAGACAGACAGATACCGAACCAAATTTGATCATTGATGTCTGAGACGTACAACAAGAGTAAAAATGTTTTATTCTGATCACAAAAATATATTTAACCTTCCGCAAGAATATAAAGTTTCTAAAATACTACCTTCGGTAGTGAAGAACCAACGAATAGCAAACTGTCATGAAAAAAAGATTTACAAAAGGTTTGGGGGGCATTAGATTTCACGGCTTTATGTGCATAGTTAGAAGAGGATAACAGATTATTATGAAAGTTCGAGTATATGGATGAGAAACTATCACATATCTCAAGTTATGATGTAAGATTGCTTTTGAAACGTAATATGGAGCATTGATTATTGTTTTAAGGAATGAAAGGATTGGATCAGTTTGATTTTCGAAAATTTGGCTGTTCCCCACAGCTGAAGTCTGTAGGTTTAAATAAGTTTCAATATGGTCTCGTAGGTTAAAATTTTGTTTTCAATTTAGGAAAGGGTTTATGTCCAATAGATAATGTAACACCATACTCATAATATAACACAAGCTCTTGTCGCTCCTAAAGTTAATTTAAAAAATATTCTACAGTTTGGGACAATGATGGGATCCGTTGTAAATGAACGACTACAGAGCTAGAGATACAGCTGACGAATTTCATCTATATTTTGATAGATGAATGTTTCGCAAATCTAAGTTTATCAAATTTCATTTTACAACGAGCATAAATTTTTGTTAAAACACCCACTCATCACTTTATACAAATTGACAGCGGAAAGAATGGAGGTTTAAAATTTTCTCTAATAATAGTAGGCCGACGAGAGCTGTCAGTTGCAGCGGAGCCGTCACTGCTATACAATACTGCGGCTATTCATTAACACACTGTGGCTAAAATGCACTTGCCTCAGGACAATGCCACCAAATAATGCACTCCATACTCCCATTGTCCCAGCTCAGATATTGTGTTGGCTTGTGTCTGCTATCGCACTGAAAAATGGGATTTATACTGAAATGCAATAATTCTTGGTTAAGTATTTATTGGAGCTCTGACTATGGCTAGATTGTCCACTCAAGTCATGAGTGTCTGTGGCTTTAGCGCTCTTACTCTACCTCCGCTGGTTTTAAATACCACTGAAGTGGTTGAAGGAGAAGCGCAGGGATCTTCTGAGGCTCGCCTTTCCCTCCACAAGTGGGGAAAGATGACCTGGCAAATTGTAAATAATGTATATAGGTATGTTTTATATAAGATGTTTGTTTTACTTTTATTTCAATTTTTATTTACTTATGTATATATACATTTTATTTTTGATTTCCATTCTCCTTATAATATTTTATTTTGTTCTTATTTCTATGTATTCTTTTGTTATTACTTTATATATATAAATTTATTTCTGTATATGCGCCGAATTTGCTCTCTGAATTCTATTATTAATGTCCTTAACTAACATAGATTGTAATATTCCTCAATAAAAAAGTTTAAAAAAAAAGTTTGGTATATAGATTATTATTTCAATAGTTCTCGCCTATGCGAAATCGAATTTGAGGGACATGTCAATCCACCTACAGGTAACCATTTTGTTTTAAATAATTTAAAAAAAATAATTAATCTGGCCGTTAATCATTCTAGAGCGGTCCTAGACCTTTATGAATAAAGAAGTCAAGGAGGTCAGGATTACGGTTAGGGTCGGTTGGCCAGTATGTAGGAGGATCAGGGGGAAGGATGTTGCTATTGTGGGAAATAAGTGCAGACAGCAACGTTCGTCCGCGGGAATTCGTGGTTCTGGATCCGCATTTCACACATCGAGGTAAGCTGTGGCAGTGGCTTATTGTACCGCTTTCAGACAATTATGGCACTGTGGCATTTCACTTTTAGTATATGGTATTTCAACCACTATCCTGGTATAGTACATACGATTAAGTTTATAAATATTTTCTATTATTCTATTTTTGTTTACACTGCTCAATAAACTTAACAAAAAAGCGATTACTCGAATTGTTTATGTTCATTTGATGAACAAAGTGTTAATTGTTCAAATGTCAATGTTTCTAAATACTCTTGTTCACTAATTCACTAGTAATTTAATCACTTAAATAAGTAGAAGTAACAGGGGATTGTAATAAATTAGTGCATGCGCAGAACTGGATCTACTCCTACTACATACTACGCAGCCTAACTAACTCAGTTTTACTTACCGTACATTTTCTATGATCTATTCCTCTCGGCCTCTATCCTTTACAATAATCTAGAATGGACCATTCTTCCTGATCTATACGGTAGTGATAATTTTCCAATAATAACAAAATTTATAATTTTAAATACTTCGCATGTGTCGAACGACTCCTTAATGGTTGTTAGACGAGGCTGGCCCAAGTTTAGGGTTCTAGCTGGGCCACAACAAAGCTCTCCATACGATCTGAGCATTGAAGAAGGATGCGAATCAATCTTAAACACAAGCATCAATGCAGCTAATTCACCGAAACTAATAACATCAGGTTCTTCAAAAACACCACCAGTCCCGTGGTTTAATGGAAAATGCAAAGAAGTTATTAAAAATCGACGTAGGACCTACAAAATGTTTCAAAATCTTTGACAACCGAAAACCTAGTAAAGTACAAAAAGCATAAAGTTTTTTAAAGTCAAACGCAATATTCGTAAATCCAAGTCGTGAAAAAAAAATTTGTTACCAATATAAATTCCTCTACTATTTCCGTGATTATTTGGGACAAAATCAGAAATCTATCTTTCACGCCTTTGTATCTTAGTCTTACCATATTAGTCCTGCCTTACCGTAGCAACTGTCCGATGATCCAGTAAAAGTTTCCGTGACCTTTTGTAGTCTGGATATATTGCAGTTCTGGCAATGGCCAGATTCGCCAACACATCAGTGTATATAGCTAAAGCACTCTGTCTCAACCTCCGCTGACAACAGCATCTGTGACGCGATTATTTGTGTAGCAAAGGGATCTCCAGGAGTTCTGCTTCCTCTCTATAGTTGGAGGTACAAGTCTGGCTTGGAGTTCTCTCACCTGATTGTAAATAATGTATAGATAAATGTCTGTGTTTTTTGTTTTTTAATTTACTCATCTTTAAGTTATTTTATTTTTATTTATGTTATATACTTTTTTATTATTGTTTACTTGTTATGTCGGTTCTGTTTATTTTATTTTGTCTGCATATATGAAGTGCAAATGTGGTATTACCTGACTATAATTATTGTTCATATGACAGAATGTTATATTACTCAATAAATAAACAAAAAAAAAACTAAAAAAAGCATTAATGTGGCTTTCAGAGGCATAATTGATTAGTTAGTAATATTTACGAACTTTCTTGATGCAATCAGTCTGAATAACATATTTGCTAATTTTATTATAACATATCATATTGATTAGATATCAGCGTAAACACATTAGTAGATTGAACTAAGCTGTCATTTCAGGTTCGACCTAACAATCTGCAGTCATTTCTCCGCTTAGACTTGGAATAGCCTGATGGTTATAACAACAATAAATCGGGAATTAATAGATTTGATTTCGATTATTAGTAGTATAACACTACGTAAAATGTTTTGTTCCATAAGGACAAGAAACTGCGAGGACGCTTGCAGTAAAGTAACTTGGGGTATTTCTACCTTCGGTATGCTTCCTGTGAACGGACAATTCGATGTTGATTTTAGGCGAGTGGTAGTTTCTGCGTTAATTATTTTGAGCCTCTCAGCTAACTCGGCATATTGGATAGTGAGCGGAAAGATGCAAGTAGAAGGACCTTACCATTATATCATTTATTACTGCAGAAAGTTCATTGAGACGTTCACTATAATTGTAATTACAGCACAGTTCTTAGTGAAGAGGCACAGATTCCGATCCATAGTCTACAACTTGAAGACCGTGGAGAGCGCTCTAGCAGAGGTTGGGCAGCGATGGTCGTGGGCCTTACATCCTCGGCATTACTTGCGAGTGCCCCTCCTCACCATCCTTCTGATAATACTGCCTTTGCGATCGGAAATCTCCTTCTGGATGGTCATGCACATAGACATATTATTCATTGGCGTTTATGTCTTTCACGTTTGCACTTTCTTCGATATGATAAAATACTGCTTATTTCAGATTAGCACTACTGAGGAATGCACATCTCATACAAAGCTGTACAATATGATTGAGAACTCATACGAGGATCTCAATTCAATCAACGGGATCGGTATCTTTCTCGTGTTTGTTAGTTACTTTCTGAATTTGTTGCATCAGTTGTATCAACTTTTCAATATAGACAATTTGTCAAATCAAAGATACGTTGAAATATTCTGTGCTGCTACATATTATAGCTTAGTTATTCTATGGATCATCTTCACGTTCAGTGGAATATCTTCTGAGGTAGAGTTACAATAACTACATCTATTAAAATAATATATCTGTGACCAAAAAAAATTTAAACGTGCTTATTGAAATTTGCAAATGTATTAAATGAAAAATAAAACACGTAAATATGAAATTAGAAACATGACATGTACTCCATGAAAAAAAAAAAAAACATTTTTAGCAATCCAATTATAGTTCTATATTCCATATAGAATTAGAATTCCATCTTCTTTTCATACGTCGCGGAGAGTTATCAGGAATAGAAGAGGAAGCAAGGCTAGAAACAAGAGGGTTCAGTGTTGATTTTATTAATGGTTTATGGGTTTCCTTATTAAGTGTAAAACATTGAATAAACCACAAGCCTTTTTTAAACTAAGCAAAATCAATCTTTATTAAACTAACAACACAACTTCATATATAGAACAGGGTTATAACTAAAACATGTGTTTTATATATTTCCTTTTTTTAATTCATATAATCGATATTAATAAAATTACTTTTAACATTCAGATGGCTCAGGAGTTTATTATGGAAAGATAGGGATCTGGATTAAATCGGAAACATATGGTACATTAAGGTCGTCATGGATGATTTCGTTTGTGATAAAGTAGGGACCATTGAGGATTTTACGAAGGTTTTTGGATTGTAAGGATTAGATACGAGAGGAATTTGATGGTTTAGTAGAGCCCCAAAGCTCGATCCCGTAAGTTAAAATAGACCTTGTTATAGTAATATATATGAGTCGTTTGTAAATAATTGTAACTTTATAGCGTTTGTCTAGTAAGTGCTGGAGTAGTTGAAAACTTCGGGCGGTTTCTTTCGTTTCAGTCTGGTATGAGAATTCCAAGTAAGTCGTTTGTCCAGGTGGAATCTAGGTATCGGATTTTTTCAACAGGGATAAGTGGAATATTGTTAAAAAATACTGTAGAATAGACAGTTATAGGTTTACGATGAAGAGTAAAAGTTGGAATGGGTTGGTATGTCAGCTGTATAAACTGTGTAAAGGATAGGACCTAGGATAATACCATGAGAAATACCTGCACACTGAGAATAAAAGAGATGTGATTTACTTTGTAGTATCTGTCAGTAAGGTAGAAACGGATAATGAGGAAACATGTAGGTGGAAACATGTAGAGGAAATCTGGGAGGTGACAAATATGTCCAGGATATCAGGGCGCTTTTTTAGAGAAGTATGCCAAAAGGTAGGATACACGGGACAGAGGATGGAGTAACTATTGGAAGTTGAACATAAGTTAGGATGTTACCACGGGAGTTTGATGAATTTCGGCACATTTTAGTTACAAAAAATGAATCACATAAATCTATATTATATTACTTGAAATAACATTTTAATACTTTCACACTTATAATAATAATAATAATTTCTTTATTGAAAAACTTTACAAATGTGATCATCATTCGTCAACTTCTTCTGCAGGACTAACATGAATGCTTGATTGGGGAAACCTCTCAGCGAAGACACTCCTAACGTGACTTCTTAATGTGGCAAATCCCTGCTCCAGAGACGTTTGAGTTTTCTTGTTGGATTCTGTGGTAGTGTGTCTGTTAGTAATGTTTGTACAAGTGGATTAGGATCTCCAATAAGTGAGTCGTGAAAATTTTTGTAAAACTTCTTAATTATGTCAATCGCTTGTGGTATTTTTAGGTCTTTATGAAGCGATTTATTGGTTACGGAGAAGGAACAATAAGTGATATACCGGAGAAATTTAGATTGGAAGATTTGAATTGTATGTAAGTGAGATCTTTGCATTAACTCCACACCTGAATAACATATGTCCATGTTGGTCTGAGTAGCATGTTGTATATGATAATTTTGTTAGAAAGTGATAGTTTGTTTCTATGGTATATCATTCGTCTTAGTAGTGACAGTCGATGGTTCAATCCCTTTTTCAGTGTAGTCACATGCGATTTCCAGGTCAGTCGTCGGTCCATTGTCCATAGTCCTAAATATTTTGTCTCGGTATGATTCGGCAATTCGGGGTGTTGTAAAGTGTCAATGGAGGGCAATCCGATCGTCTTAATTGTAAATGTAAACTGATTTGAATTATTTATATTAATTTTAGTGCGCCATTTATCAATCCAGTTTTGTAGTATATTTAAATGAATCTATACTTTTTGGGATACTGCGATCGGATTAGAATCCGTCGAGAGTATGACAATATCGTCTGCGTAAGTTGCGAGTAATATATCTGGCATCTGTGGTGTGTCAGCAGTGCAAATAGAGTATAGAACTGGACCTAAAATACTACCCTGCTGTTCTTCTGCATCGATTCGAGTGTTTACCATCCTGGTTGACAGCGACAAATCTATCCTCAAGGTAGGATCTGATAATTAAATAGTAAGTATGCGGTATGATCGATTTAATTTTACAAAAAAGACCATCATGAAACACTTTATCGAAGGCCTGTGTGACGTCTAAGAAAGCTGCTGTGCAAAGTTCCTTCTTTTCCAATTGATACGGCAATTGTATCAATCACTCTATGACATTGTTTTATGGTAGAGTGTGATTGTTGGGATGTGTATTAGATGTGTAATGAGGTCTTGAGTATGAGGTTGACATGTATTGATGCGGTATATATTGAGAATGAGTATAATGACGTACCGAATGCTGAGGGGTTATTCTCGTAGTTTTGTATGTTGAGTGTTGAGGAGTTGTACTAGTAATTTGAGGAGTACTATATTGAGGAGATATATTTGTTGCATGAGGATTTGTAATTTTAGAAATCGTATGATGAGGAATGGTATTGTGAGAGATTACATAATGAGGAGATATATTTGAAGTTTGGGGAATAGTACTTTGAGCCGTTGTACGATGAGGAGTGATATTGAGAGAGATTGCGGAATGAGGATTTATACTTGTCATTTGTTGTGAACAGTTGTGAATTGTGGTGTTGTGGTGTGATATACAGTGTTAGATTATGTTACCTGTGCGTAAGTCATATTGTGTCGTTCTTGCATGTAAGTAAGTCGGTCATGTTCCGCCTCTGGAGACAGGTGTTCTGTTGCCTCTCGATTCGGCCTGGCTCCGCACATTTAGTGCTTACACTTCTTTGCTGCAATTCGAGGTGAACTGCGCATCTCCTATAGTTTGCAGGATGATTGCCACGGCACAGCCCACAAACAGGAGGTTCTTCAAGTGGCTTATGGCACATAGGGACAGATCAATAGGGTGATCTTTAGCGCACTTCACACATCTTGGTTTGTGACGGCAAAATATTCTGGTATGTCCGTATTCCTGGCATCTCATACATTGAGCAATATTTCTTCTTTTATAAGGCTCTTCAATTTTAACTTCAGTATAAGCCAAGTTGGTGATATTAAACACTTCAGCATTGTTCGAAGCTGGTTCTAAGTCGACAAAGAACAGTGGGAGTGGTTCTTTAGACCGCAGATGCAAAACATTAGTGATAAGACCGACGGCTGTATCCTTTTCTCTGTGGATCATATTTTATCATTTCGTGAGGTGTAGAGTAGTGGAGGTTTCTTATTACAAATCTATAAGGTTTGTCTTCTTGCTATTGCTATGTATGAAAATTATGATTATTAGTTTGCAGATCTCTAATGCATCTGTATGCGTCAGTTGTTTCTGTTTTTAACGCAACAACTGATTTGTTAGAGAAACATTCAAAGTTATTTTCTCCTAAAAGGTTTAATAAATCTGTGCAAAGCGTTCGGAAGTTAGTTATGCCTTTCATTTTAATTTGAGGTGGTCGATGAACAGCTTTTGTTTCATTAGGTCCATCTTCCATTTCGGTAGAAAGAGGTTCAAACATATTACTGACTGAAACGTTAGACTATTTAATGTTGAGGAAATATTGGTCGTAGTTGAGCTCTGAATAAGATTTTCTGGCATTTCAGTATGGTTATTTGCATTTTCTGATATAGATTCAGAAATATTTAATGTAGAATTATGGTTTTCATTATTTAAATGATTCATTACTATATTAGTGGAGTTAGGGAGGTTATGTAAATTAACACATGTTTGTTTTTGGTTAGAATTTGTTGATGTATTTTTATCACAGATTTTTTTTAACTTGTTCGCTTTTTATCATTTATTCCGTATTTCGATGAAATACTAGAATTACAGCTTACATTTCTTTTCAAAAGTTTGGATAAAACGGCCTTTTCTGGCAGTCCACTAGGGCCAAGTAACTGACGTACACTCATAAGTAAACTGTCTTTTTTTTTCACTTTTAATATCTATACAAAAAACTTATGCCTTTAAGGAGACCAAATTTTCACTATAAAATACTTCATAAATTCAAGAATTTAAAACTTATAGTAGGAACACATTTTTTTAATAACCGCATAGTTAAATCATAACAGCTGTTATTTTAATACTTTAAAAGAAAAAAAAACCAGCCTATGGTTAAAATATTTATAAACTTTTAGAAATGTTTTTAATTTATTTAAATGTTATCAATGATGTGTATACATTACGGAAGGTTTATACTAACTGATTTGAAAAAAAAAAATCAATTGAATAAAATTTAATAACAACAATAACATTTAGTTCAACAGTATTGAGATCAGTGACAAAACATAATCATTCATAGAATTAAATGGGTCAACTCGGAGTAACATATAAATTAAATATAATTAATAATTTAAAAAATATATTGATTAGAAATGAGTCGCTTACTTCCAAAGTGAACAGCAATAGATATTTATGGAAATCAAGATAATGATTAATCCTGTGTAAAAACTACTAATGAATTTGATGGCGTAATTATTTTATTTTTTAAAACGGACCTTAATATTAAAAATAGAGTAAAAATAATATCCAAAATCTGAACTTTTTTCTTAAAGATACATGCTTTCCTGAGATATTAAAAAAAAATCATCAAAAGGTTTTTAAACTTCTATTTTTCACCAAGTGCTCAAAATTCTACGATAATCATTACTGAACATTTGCTATAAACATAAATCAATTTGCATGTTTCCAACATTTTGTCAATCTTTTTTTAGTTCAAGAAGTTCAACACCAACCTTTACAACAAATGCGCACAGAAAAATATTGAGGACTTTCAATATGTGAGTAGGGGTAATTATCAAGTGAATGTGCAAATTATTGGTTCTTAAAGCAATTAATAATTTTTTAGGACGATATAATGTTTCATTTGGTTGTGAAGAATGGTCTGCAGTTCGAAGCAAACGGTTTTTTTTCTGTCAACAATTCGCTCATCTGTTCGGTAAGTTAATATGTTATTAATCTTATGAAATGTTCCTGTAAATTGCTATAAAATAGTAATATTTTATTTTATATTGCTAAAATTATGTAAAGCTCTAAATTAGCCTATAGGAAATTATTTTTACATTACAGATGATAATCACTGCTACAACCTACTTAGTAATATTGATGCAATGGAGTCCCCGAACATCTTCAGCGGTCGAATAGGTTTACTGGAAAAGTATAAAATATATAAAATCCCATCATTTCAATTACCAGATACCAGAAAAATAATTAAAAAATAGTTGATTTTTTTTAATAAATATTATTTTTTTCAAATATTTATAAAAAAAAAAAAAATCATTTTCGATTGCAGCGAAAATACTTATTTAACAAACGGTCATTGCAGTAGTGAAAAGTTAGTACTTTTTTATTCCTAAACAATATTTAATGGAATTCAAATGTGTATATCGTGTATAACATCTGCAATAGATGCTACAATACGATATTTTATTCAAAACATAACGGGCTTTTTACATGTAATCTTACTCTAGATAACCATCCGGTTTTGAAAAGAAATTATATTTGAAACATTGCTACATTATGGAAAGAATTTTTAACGACCAAAGCAGCAAAGCGGGCTCAAATATTTTTATTTTCAATCAGAAGTTGCTATCTGTATTTCCGTATTCTAATACACAATTTTCATAACAATTGAAAAATGTAAATTGTTTATTCAATATTTTCTTTATATTTTTTGCCCTCGATTTTAGTTTTAAATTTACAAAAATTGTGATAACTTTGAGATGACTTCCTATCCACACGAAAATGAGCAAATCCTCGTAAACAAATTAGAACTAGAGATAAAAGTTAAAAACGTTTGAGAAGTTATTCTATATTTATTCTCAATAAAGACAAAAAATCTAAACGTTATTTACTTGGTTTGAGCTCTTCAAATTGCAATAATTGTAATAACGTTAAAATAAGAGAAAATCCTGGGATTTATAAATGATTTATTTAAGATCATAAAAACAATTCCTTCAATAAAATCATGAATATACATATTTATTCTTTTTTAAATCTAATTTACTAGGTTTAAAGGACTGTGGAAAGGAATCTGAGTTGCTTCTTCATAACAAATATTAATTTGCCCTAATAAACTGTAACCGTCTGATAGTTTTTGAAATTTATTATACATTTGGATTCGTTTAATAGAATCAGTAATATGTTTCTTTAATTTTACACAAAAGGAAATATGACATAAATTATAAATACATGTTGAACAAAAAAATGTTCATAAAGTAAGTTAAATTTAAAAAAAGAAATGTTTTCCTTTCCTCCATTCGTTAAAACATTTAAAACGGAAATATTTTGATAGTTATATAAGAAATCGTCCTACAGATACAAACATTAGCGAACCAAATGTATACCATACTATTTCAAACATTATCCATGAGTTCTTCTATATGTAATTTTATCTTCGAAATAGTGTTGTTTTTTTCTGTCATATTAATTTTTATGAACAAATGACATTTAGTTTATTTGGAGTAAATTATATATTTTTAAAAATGTATTGTACAAGTGTTCATTTCGTTTTAATTATTAACATTTTTGGAAATGAAAAATAATTTAATCCTGGGCTTAGACAAAACATATGTACTCTTAAAATGTATTTTGATCCAATTATAATATTTTTATTTTTATTATAAAGATTTTTATTTTAATTATAAAGATTTTAATTTTAATTTATGAGGATTGTCGTCCAGGTAAGAAAAAAGAAAAAGAACATATTAAAACAACTGGACTTTGTATAGAACTTTAAATTTGTTATACTTATCTTGAAGTTGTACTGCCACCGATATGTATATTATTTTATATGTTTAGATCTTTTAACTTTTGTTTTTATTTGGCATATGAATAGTAAGGCCGAAATGTTAATTAAGTATTTTTAAATATTAAAATTACTTTTTGTTTCTTAAATCTGTATGTAAATGTATTTATGGTCTATTCATTTTTTTCAGTTATTGATTAAGCGTATCGATTAAATACATAGATAAATAAACTGATGCAGAAAAAAATATATATATTTGTTTCTCTAATGATCCTTCATTTTTAAAAATGTTACCAAATGTTTCTTTTAATCTTCTTTTTATTTTTTTTTAAATCAACTAAAGTATTTCTACATAGGATTCTTGACAATTTGATAATGTCATTAATGAACGTTCTCATCCATCAGTTATGGACTTTAAAATTAAATATTAAAAAACTTCAAGTAATTACTGATTTATTGTTCAAAGGTTAATATATAGTAATTAAAATTAGAGGTTATACATAATATTAATGATAAAAACAAACTATTTAAGTGTTTGGAAAAATGGGATAGAATAAATGTGTTGTTTCATTATGATTATATACAACATTATTTGAGAATAACCCTTAAGTAATTAAAAAAATAACTCATATTAGTCAAACATTAAATATGCATGAAACAGAATGAGTTTTAAAACCATTTATGTTTTGTGATCCTCGAACATTTCGATGAGTATTTACCAGATTTAGTAATTATTAGTTAATGGCTATTAATTTGAATGGTTTAATTTTTTCGGGCAATTGCACTGCTATAAGAATGCCTTCATAGATGTTCACTCCTGGAAATTTTAACCTGTTAAAAATAGGACACACAATTAAACTATAAATAGTGAAAGAATTACTATACACAGTATTCCAATAATATAGTTGCCAGAAACATTGTTACAACAGCCTATCAATTGGTTTTCATTGTTGATTAATAGGTATAGAAAGTCACATTTTCGTAGTTTAAAGTGCAAAGTGTTCATTAATATCCAACGTTTACTATATTTTACATATTATCAATAATAAAATAAATAAATTTTTAAAAAAATAAATAAAATTGACTGATCTATGGAACCACAGACTACATGGAAAGCTACCAAGAGCAGCCCCGCTGTCTACAGGCCTTTTGAATGTCAAGGTCTCGCAGGGATGTCAGGCCAAGGTTTCCATGATCAACTTCTAATAGAAGCACAGGCGGATTTACGGGGGGGAGGGGGAAGAACTTTCGGGCTGAAGCCTTCCCCCCAAAATGGTAAAATATTACCATGTTTTATAGAAAAAAATATTAAAAACTATCTCTTAAAGTATTATTATTCGTGTAATTACATTTAATAGGACTTCAAGAATCACTTAAACACCATTTCATAGCGGTAGTTCATTTCTTTCTTCTTTTTTTTTTAAATTAATTATCGTTATATATATGAAAAAAAATCTTTCGGGCTGAACCCCCCCCCCTAAAATTAAATCCTGAATCCGCTAGTGGATAGAAGTAGCGTTTACTTTACAGTTCTATCGACAATATGTCGTTTAATAAATGTCTTAACATTAATATATATATATTGTAGCTATTTACAGTATAATAAAAGCTAATCCAAAAAGTGTGGATATACATAATTGATTATACAAATGCAGGTATAGAGAGGTGGTGATCATTGAGTACAAATGCCACCGACGGATAGGTATGGATCTATCCGCGTATTTTCCACCGAAACACAAAAAAAAAAAATGGAAAAATTATTTTGAGATACCTTATTTGCAATTTTCACGATCGTGAGGATTTCTTTTACAAAATATTTGGAATACATAAGTGGAAGTAAAAACATTTTAGATGATTCGGGTTTCGGTCATGGTGGGCGCTAGGTTCTAGTGAACACATTATTTATTTTAATTATTAATTATTATTAATCATTAATCATTTATCAAAGGCATAAAAGAAAAAAAATGAAGCCAAAAATTATACAAAAAAATCAAGATATGTTTGATTAGGTAAATTAATATAATCACTAACTGAAAGATCAGTTAGATTCTGGTGTGTATTTTCTTTTACGAATAAACGTGCTTTGTTTTTGTTAGTTTGTGAAATCAGAGTATTTCTTCCTTTCTCATTGTAAAGTTACATACTACAAATATATTTCTAAAGTCATGTTGCTGAAAGTTGGTACAATCTAATAGTACCTTCTATTTAATTTTTATTAATTATGATGGATATCTGGAGAGTAAAAAAGTGCTGCAGATAAACCCGAATCAAGTGAGGGGACTTACGTTTACCATGCCTGAGGAATTTCCAACAGCTGTCTGGTCAATTGTTGATTCTCAATTAATTGTGTACAGATGTAAATTAATATTTTTTTTCATGATGCCTTCATTCACACCTATCATGAATATGTTGTTGAATTTGGTTTTGGCATTTCAGGGAAGAGGGTGTAGCAATCACACAACACCTCTTATCGGTCTTTGTTTAGTTCTTTAATTCATTAAAATATTTCTCTCATCCAGATCCTGTTCAGTCGCCTCTGATAGGAATATCAGCCATGTCCATGTTGTAAGTCACTTTGTTATTATGCTCGTGAAGATTATTAAAGATACGAGAAAAGTACCTATGCGTTCGTCGATAGCTGATTGTTGTCAGCCAAGTCAGTATGCAATTTTCTTTATAGTTTATATGTACCAATACGTTGGATATTATTTTAATTTCTGATCCACATATTTCTTAAGATAACATTATTCTTTATATTATATCAAAAAGTCTAATCTACCGTCCAGTTTCAAGTTCACAATTAAATTTCATATTTCTATGAATATTATTCAACCCATTGAAAAATCTCATTTCTCTATTGAAAACAAATTAGTAATTTACGAGACGATTCTGAAACCTAGGATTTTCGGACAAGTGCAATAAATCCTCTTCGAAGTTTGAGACGGTAGTAAAAACATAGGTTCTTAAGACCTTTAGTAAATACGTATGCACAGATGGACAGTGGTCAGATCCACTCAAGTCATGTGCGTCTGTTGCTTAAGCAAGTTTGTTCAACCTCCGCTGGTAGATAATAAAAGAAAAATGGTCAAGAGAGAAGCAGTGAGATCTCCTGAAGTCCTGCTTTTTACTCTACAAGCGGAGGGAGGGAATAAGCATGGTTCAGAGTTCCCTTGGCTGATGATGAATAATCTGTATACGTTTGCTAGTATTTAAGATATTACTTTCCTTTCGTTAAATTAGATATTTTTTTAAAAGATATTATTTTATATCATAATTAATTTATTTTATGTAAATATGGTGTGAATATACTCTATTCTCCTTTTACAGCTGTCCTTTGTAGTGACAGCATTCACAATGCTATTACTAAATTGTAGCTAAAAATAAAAAGTTTAAGTGA